CACAGCCACACAACACACACACACACATACACAACAATACTACCACACACACACACACACACGAGGCGCAGTTGAAAAGGACCTTTACTAGTAAAGAGGATAAGAAGAAATAAGGTAAGAAATAAAACCTATTTGAAATTTGACGCAAAATTCATAAAAAAAATTTCATGCAACATAAAAAATTTCTATACAACATAAAGGAAATGAAACTGTCCCTTCTTGGAAATTATTTGCATCCGACATATAGTAACGGCTTTCAACGTCTCTCGCGAAAGGAGAGTGGAGACATGCAGGAAAAGGTTGACGCGAGCACACACACACACACACACACACACACACACACACACACACACACACACACACACACACACACACACACACACACACACACACACACACACACACACACACTCCCTCAGGTCCTCTCTCACGCCACAAAGTGCTTTGTCTCGACTCAGGACTTTTAGTGCCATTAGTGAATATTTATTTAACAGCTGGAGGAGTTGTTTGTTGGAGGGAAATATTTCCAGTTGAGAAACAATCACTGTTTGATCTTCGTTTGAATCTAACTCTTGTTTCCTGACGTCACTGAGAGCTGTATTCCCACATGCTCTTCATTTGAAAAGCTGAGGAGATGTTTAGGTGAGTTCATTTGGGAACATTTCTGAATTTACAACATAAATTATTTTGGAAATCGTTCATCATTTACTTCACAGATGCCTTTTTGCTGCAGCAGTGGATTTATATGAAGTTAAGTCGGTACAGAGCAACATATCTTGACACATACCAGTCAGATTCCAATGATATTTCAGAGATAGTGTCTACACTTCCTCCTTGACAAACACTGTAAATATCATAACTGGTTTTTCAGTAGAACAAAGTGTCACCTTCCATTGTCCAAAGAGGATTAAATATGAGGGTTTTTGGAGACTTTTCGACCTTTTTTTTGGAGTACTCATGATCCCAGAGGATGAATCTTAAGCATTGTTGACTGTCTTTGCACTTTCACCATATCTAGGCAGTTTGCAGACCATAGACCTGATAATAATCCATATTCTAGTGAACCCAGCCTTGAATAAATGTAGATATATGTAATGTAAGAACAGCTACACTATAATATAACATTTATATTTTACATTTTTCTTAGTTGATTTCAGTCATTTTGAAATACAAGCCTCTGAAAATGAGATGTATGCAGCATTGAAGGAGGTCTGATGGTATGCACGTTTAGAGTATTGTCTTGCGCTGTGTCCCAGCCAGACAACAGATGATTCATGTCTTTTTACTGGATCTAGATCGAGAGATGTCTCTTAAAGGAAGCCAGGATAATATTTCTTACTTGACAATTTCCCCCTAGAGGATTGAACCCCCTCTGTGAAATATGGAAAAGACATGACAGCTCCATATTAAATGTTTACAAGGAATAAGTGCACATTAATCTGCACTTTGTAATAGTTCTGTTACCACTTGAATGCTTGCAGTAATGAAATAAGCCTTTAAAAGAAACTGTGGGGAGGTTAGAAACATTAGAGAGGCCGTTTATCACATTTGTGAGGATTTTTGAAATGTCCAGCAACGAACGGGGAGATGATAAACTTTTAAATGCAGAGTTTAAATATAAAGGCGTCTCACTGTTGTCCTGCTCAGGAGGATCCAGGACGTCGCTCTCCGTGTCGCTGGGAATATTCCACGGCTGCCGGATGGCTTGGAGCTGCTGGTAAAACTCATCCTGAGGAGCAGACAAACAGCAGGGACACAGGAAACAATGAGGAAATCAGTCCCTCTACATGTAATGAACACTTCTTATTCAAGGTGTTGATGTCAATATAAGGAAACAGAGGATTTACACATTCTTTAGGTACAATTTAGTGACTTTTAAGACCTAATTATCAGAAAAAAACAATAACTTATAACATTACTGCAGGTTTTCTGAAAAACGGATCAGTAAAATTGACGTTTTATTGAATTTCAATGAGTGAAATATTCAGTGCAATCAGTCGCTCTCCATATACTGAACATGTCTTATTCAAGGTGTTGTCAATTTTAAAGAAACACATTTTGTATGTACAAATGTTGAGTTTTAAAGGTCCCATGTCTCATGGCCATTTCTACTGATCATAATTCCATTGTTGAGGTCTACTAGAATATATTTATATTGTTCAACGTTCCAAACTCACATTGGTTTCTGATACAGCATCTCTGTATAGTATGTGTATTCACTCTCTGTCCTACACGCCTTGTTGGAGCTCCTG